AAAAAAGAAAAAACCCCCCCCCCCCCCCCCCCCCAACGTAGTCGCTGTAATGATTCACACATGATACTGTCCCGGCTGTCAGGGGCCCAGCGTGACCCGGTTCCTGCTGAGATGTTGGAGGGGGGATGGGACGGAGGAGAATGGGCCCTCTATGAGGAACGTGCGTCCGTGGAGCGAGCGCGCAGCACGCTGATCTCGTTAATTGTTATAATCCCAGTAACAGGTGACCGCGGCGGAATATTTAGTAGCCGGGAAATGTCACGGAACACCTAAATCCAATGATTTGGAGGGGGAGGGGCCAATACTTTTGGCGATATAGTGTAAATGACGTCATAGAGCGTTACATGGCGAGCTCGGGAATCTAGGAACGTTGTGGTAGGGAGGAGCACAACGGTCTGAAATTCACCCCGGAACGCGCAGATTCACCCGTTATCTGTGAATATTCCGATGACGCCGTGGAGCGCCTCGGCCTGAATTGTCTCGCTGTCCTCCGGCGGAATATTTCGGCTGCTCCATTTCCAGCAGGTGACCATGTGACCTCTGACTGTGCAATAATGGAACGTAAGATTACGCGCTAATCTCTCTGCGTGTTAAACAAAGATCAGCGCGGCGTCCCCTGCGGCCGGCCGGCCATTTCATACAATTACCGTGCGCGTTATTTCCCTCTAATGCCACCATATTGCACAGGACAGCGGGGGAGGGGGGAGCTGTAATTGTATCAGCAATCCGATTTCCTCCATATGTCCAGGAAATATCCCGTCATGTATAAGGAACTCATGAAGAGTCTGGCCGTGGTCACCCTAAACCGGCGTTATGGAGCGCGCACCGCGGAGCGCTAGAAGTCCGGGCACTGGGAACATTGATTGATTGATTTATTATTGGTATTTATATGGCGCCGACAATTTACGCCGCACTTTACATAGACCGGAGCCAAGTAACCTTCCAGCGTGTCTTTGGAGTGTGGGAGGAAACCCACCAGCACAGGGAGAACGTGCAAACTCCATGTAGATTGTGACCTGGCCGGGATTCGAACCGGGGACTGGCGACAGAACCTGGAAGACAAGAGGCAGGACCTGGAAAACGGGCAGCAGAACCCGGAGGACAGGAGGCAGAACCCGGAGGAGGGGCGGCTGAACCCGGAGGAGGGGCGGCTGAACCCGGAGGACAGGCGGCAGAACCCGGAGGACAGGAGGCAGAACCCGGAGGAGGGGCGGACCACCCGGTGCAAAGCTTTAATAAATGAACCCCGCGCTGCGCTGCGTCTGAAAATATAATGCCGGTGGTGTTTTTTTGTTGGCGCATTGAAAACGAACGGGGTGTCGTGACGCACGTGGGTTCCCGCGCCACAAGGGGGGTGGAGCCGGTCTAAACCTCGGGAACCATTTACAGCCCAACGCTCCCTTCAAAACGAGTAAAACCACCTGAAGGCCCCGTTCACAATGATCGGTTTATCGCGCGATTTTCGCCGCGCAATCGCGCCTATTTTCCGCTCTATGCAGCTCGTCCAACGCATTTCAATAGAGCTGCTCACATCTCACAGCTCAATGTCGCCTGTCGCTCGTACACGGCCCTGTTTTTTCGGGCGGATGTCGCACGATTCGTCCCCAATAGACTCAATGGTGTACCGCAAAATCGCGCATTACTGCGCGACTTGGTCGCGGGATATCGCGCTACAGAAGGGTCACTTTTGCCCTGCAAAATGGAAGGAAAGAATGATGTCATCATCAAGATCGCTGTTGATTGGTTACAGCCCGATGTGGCAGCGACGAAGTCCCGCCCCCAAAAAAACCGCGCTAAGTAGCGCGACAAAATGTGCAATGTCGCTCAATATTGCGCAATGTCGCTCATAGCCACTCATATCCACGCCGCTCACTGTGAATGGGGTGTAAATCTACTGACAGTGTGTGTTGACAAATGTAAAAAATTTTGCCAAAATTTTCGGAGATTCCATTATTATCGCCTCAAATTGGTGAAATGTTCTAAAAATAAACACGAATGAATGACTTCATAAATGGTAGAGGAATGGCGGATCATGATGTCACTGTATGTATCCGCTCGCCTATTGGCGCCGGTCTGTCCGGTCTCAGCGAGTGCGGTGAAGCTGCTTTAGTGTCCAGTGATACATTTTGGAGGTTTAATTTTTTTGGG